ACCTTCAAGATCAATAATAATAAAGTCCAGGAAAGGTGTAATCACCAGTCTGTCTACCTTCAAGATCAATAATAATAAAGTCCAGGAAAGGTGTAATCACCAGTCTGTCTACCTTCAAGATCAATAATAATAAAGTCCAGGAAAGGTGTAATCACCACTAATAATAAAGTCCAGGAATGGTGTAATCACCAGTCTGTACCTTCAAGATCAATAATAATAAAGTCCAGGAAATGTGTAATCACCGCTAATAATAAAGTCCAGGAAAGGTGTAATCACCACTAATAATAAAGTCCAGGAAAGGTGTAATCACCACTTTTCTTTCACAGTTTACTATTTTACTTATTCAACTAGTTAAGATATCATTAAATAACTTAAGCAAGAGCTGATGACAAAAGCATTAACTAAGTGAAACAGTACTTTCTCCTCAGAATTAGCAGCCTTTAAGTAATTCTGTAAAAAATCTTATTAGGTTATTTTTCCTGAACCTAAAACAGAACTAGGATAAACACTTCTCTAGCCATCACATTAACAATAATATGTCCACCTTTAGTGATTGTAAGATTATTTGAAATCGTACCTTTACTACGACATTGGTTAAAACTTGGATTGTTCTCTTATCAGTAATATTGAAAAACAGATAATCACAGAGATACAGAATTAATATTAATGCCAACAACAGATAGTATATAATTCGTTAAACTGTTTAAACAGGTGGATCCTGTAATGGTGACTTTCTTTATCTCACATCCTTGCTATGTTTCTTGAGCAGATGGAAATACATACCAAAGACTGGGGATGAAAAGTCATTTTCTACTACCAACTACCTAAAGAAACCCCAATCTCTAAAACTCTTCAGTGGCACCACTGAAGGTAAACTGACTACCATTTGTGTTTTATTACCTACCATTCCTAGTCATTCTTCTGTCTCATGATAATGTGTAACAAATAAATCCAGAGTGATCCCACTTGTTTTACATGAACATTCTGTACCAACTCAGTCTTCAGTACATTATATTAATGGTCATTGCAAGCTTTCTTCTGGTTTACTGAGGTCATCATCAGCCATGGATGACAAGTACTTCCAAATAAGAGTTCACTAACATTTACAGTTTAAAACATAAAAGTTATGTTTTGTTTAGTTCTGGTTTCATTTGTCTCATCAGTAAAGACTCCTTTATCTGAAGAGTGATTTCATTGTCTGTTTGATTATCTATTCCATCACACATGTTGTTACATTTGGTTAGAGAATTTCTTTAATTCATGCTGCTAGGTGACATACCATGGAACTAACGGTAGACCTGTTTACAACAGGTACACGTAAACTACTTTTGGTCACCCTAGTGTTGGAATTGTATCTTTCACCTTTTATGCATAGGTGAGATTTAAAAAATTACCTTAGCAATATTTGTGAATATGATATTTTTAAAATGTTCAAGAAGTTTTTCTTTATTTTCAAACTTGAAAGGGTAACACAACAGCTAACAAATGTTTAGCTACTACAGAGTTTTTCAGGGAAACAGTTCTTAAGATAGCTTTTGATGTTACTAAGTTTTAAACTGAATGCTTCTGCTAGCTGAAAGGGCTTATAAAATAACGTGCACTGAGTTGGTGTTCAGTTTAGAATTTAATAACATCAAAAGGTTTCTTAAAAAGAAGTGTTTTTCTGAAAAACTCATTGACAGGATAACTAACAAGTGCTTGGTAAAGGTGAACAACTCCGTAGTACAAATGTTCGAGGTACCTAAAACGTCCATTACCTGTTGGATACTTTGAGTTTCCAAATAAAGAAAACCTTTTCAAAAATATTATATCCACAAATACTTAAATCAGTTTATCTACATTGTAACAACATGTGTGATGGGACAGCTAATCACACAGACAACAAAATCACTCTTCAGATAAAGGAGTCTTTACTGATGAGACAAACTGTAAATGTTAGTGAACTCTTATTTGGAAGTACTACCAACATCCATGGCTGCTGAATACACTAGTTAACCACCTCAATATTCTTTTTTAAATATAAGTTCACCCTATAAGGTGTTATTTCTACTTTTGAAGAATTTGTAATAACTCTTTTTTTTTTTTCATTTTTTAGGCACAAAGCTAAACAATGGACTATCTAAACACAGTTTGTAATAAGTTTTCAAACTTACCACTGCAGCTTTTGTAATAACTAAACCCAGTTTTTTTTACCGGTTACCTTCACTTAAAGGTTCTCCTGTGAGGCTATAAGAATCATTAATGTTGTAATAAAAAACATAAACATAACCTTACTTTTAGAAGGCATCTACCAAGTGTTTTCCCAGATCATCAAATAGTTCAAGTCTTCTTTTTAGTACAGTTTCAAATAACATCTACAAACTTGGTTTATTATTAATTAGTAGCAGCGGATCATGGTATACACACTTGTAACATTAGCTAGTCTACATGTCTTCACCTCATAAAAACAACAACTAGGGATCCCTTTCGAACTTCTATTGATTATCAATAGTTTTAAGTATTATTTAACTGGCACGGAGAACAAAGTAATTAGTTGTGGCTGACAATACTTCAAGGTGGTTACTTTACCATATTATTTAACTGGCAAGGAGAACAAAGTAATTAGTTGTGGCTGACAATACTTCAAGGTGGTTACTTTACCATATTATTTAACTGGCATGGAGAACAAAGTAATTAGTTGTGGCTGACAATACTTCAAGGTGGTTACTTTACCATATTATTTAACTGGCACGGAGAACAAAGTAATTAGTTGTGGCTGACAATACTTCAAGGTGGTTACTTTACCATTTTAATGGTCACCACAACACATTAACAACCAGCCTATCTAGATTTATTCTAACATAACTTTCACTGTTTTTTTTTAAAGATGAAGAGTTAGAACTCGGGTTGGGCTAATATAATGACTAATGGCTTTGCCCTTAATTTCTCTGACTTCATTCCCCCATTGAAAGCATTTATACCGGTTGTTCTACTTACTTGAATAGATCGTGGCAGTTGGTATCTCTCAACACTACCTTGCTCCTTCGTCTGATAAGCTGAGTCTACAGCCAAGGTGTTGGGTATTGGTTCACTAGGATCCACTCCTCTAAGAAAGAAGTTTCTCCTGTTGGTGCGTGGTGATGTCACTGTGACACTAACTGGTCCCGAGCGTGTTTCGAAACTATGTGCACGAGGTTTGTCATTGCTATTATTACTAACTAAGCTAGGATTCCTTAGGTCACCAAGTTCAAAACTTGTGGCTTTGTTTTGATTCTGTAAAAATAATGTTAACAAGTAGTGTTGTTTGTATTGACTACACATACTAAAAATATGCAAAGTTTCAGAACATTAAATTAACAATTTCCTAAAATGTTTTCCATATTTACTTAAAGACGTTTCATTATAAGTACATAAATGTTCAGAGGCAAATTGATAAAACTTACAGATATTAGTGAAAAGCCGACACCCAATAGTTTTGTGTATTATAACTAAATCTGGTGTTTCCTTACAAGGAGAAACCTAATTATAATTATAAGCTAGCTTCCTTAATAATAACATTGTCTTACTGGGGATACTGAGAGCCCTCCAGCAGAGGCTGTGGAAGCTGGATCACTGGAAATGCCTACAGATCCACTGCGAGAAGGAACCAGGCTAGACTGACTAGAACTATGAGGTGAATGTACATTCAAGGTTCCCAGTTGAATAGGAGTACCGAACACTTCATTTTCTTCATACTCAGTTGACAAAAACTCAAGACTTGAATGCTGTTTGGAAGTGCTTTTAGCTTGCTGGTAATCTTCCTGAGGAAGGAAAAGATCATCGATGTATCTTGTTGTAATTTCAGTAACAGGATGAAATAGGACAAGACTCTTGCATATTTTATTAATGTTTAATAAGTTAGCCAGTGATAAACTTGTATATTTTTATATCCCATAAAATGTCAGAATTGACAGCTGATACCAAAGAGTTTTTTATATAACGTACCTGTGCTTGATTGTTCAAGTTCAACAAAACGTACCTGTGCTTGATTGTTCTAGTTCAATAAAACGTACCTGTGCTTGATTGTTCTAGTTCAATAAAACGTACCTGTGCTTGATTGTTCTAGTTCAATAAAACGTACCTGTGCTTGATTGTTCTAGTTCAATAAAACGTACCTGTGCTTGATTGTTCTAGTTA